CTCTCTTTCCCCACCCCCTTCCTCTTCTCTCGTTCTACAACCACTCTCTCTTTTCTCTCCCCCTCTCTCTCCACCCCACACCCTTTCTCCCTGACCACACACGCCCTCGCCTGCTCTTCTTCACTCTTCTCTCCTCTCACACATCGACCTCACCCTCTCTTCTCTTCTCTTCTTTCTATCTCACACCCTCTCTTCTCTTGTCTTCTCGCCCCACACCGACGCTCCACTTTCTCTCTCCTCTCTCCCACACCACCCTCTCTTTCTCTCTCTCTTCCCACACCCACCCTCTCTCTTCCTCTCTCTCCACACCCCTCACTCTCACCCCACAAAAACCACCGTCTGATTCCCCTCCTGGTTGCCCCTCTGTGGCCTCGGCTGCTCCGCCGTCGCCTCGCCCAGCAGATCGAAATTATCCTTCAGATCCTTCAGGGCCGCTCCTGTGTGGACCATCCGACACGTAGGACACTTGAGCTGCCTGGCATCGTTGTAGATGTGCTGGAGACACTCCCTGCAGGTGCTGTGGCCGCAGGAGAGAGCCACCGGGGCCTTCGCGCCCTGGGAGTAGTTGGCGCGACATACCTTGCACTCGGGGGCCATTCTCGCGATGTCTGAAAGGGGGGGACAGGAAATAGAGAAATGGAGATGGATAGAGAGAGAGGGATGGAAGGTGGGAGAGAGGGAGAGAGAGAGAGAGAGAGAGAGAAGAGAGAGAGAGAGGAGAGAGAGAGAGAGAGAGGAGAGAGAGAGAGAGAGAGAGAGAGCAGAAGAAGAAGAAAGAAAGAGAAGAAGAAAGAAAGAAAGAAAGAAAAGAAAGAAGAAAGAATGATGAAAGAAAGAGAGAGAGGAAGAAAGAGAGAAGAGAGAGAGAGAGAGAGAGAGAGAGAGAGAGAGAGAGAGAGAGAAAGAGAAAGAAAGAAAGAAAGAAAGAAGAAAGAGAGAGAGAGAGAGAGAGAGAGAGAGAGAGAGAGAGAGAGAGAGAGAGAGAGAGAGAGAGAGAGAGAGAGAGAGAGAGAAAGAGAGAGAAAGAGAAAGAAAGAGAGAGAGAGAGAGAGAGGAGAGAGAGAGAGAGAGAGAGAGAGAGAGAGAGAGAGAGAGAGAGAGAGAGAGAGAGAGAGAGAGAGAGAGAAAGAAAGAAAGAAAGATGAGAGAGGAGCCACCCGGCGGCGCGCTGCGGGGCAAGGCTAAGATGACAGACGAGATAAGGGAAAAAGGGTTAACTGTATGGATAGAGGAATATGGAAGTGTGGGACATGATATTCTTATATATGTTGTGTTAGTCACTTCTTAACAATGATATTATCAGTATCTATTTTAGCTATATCCATATTCGAATCGAGGAAGCTGTAACACACACGAAAAAAAACACGCACACACGAAAATACACACATGAAAACACACACACACACACACACACACACACACGAAAACACACACACACACACACACACACACACACACACACACACACACACACTGGCTGCATGCAAATTGATAAATCGTCGATTATTTTTGTCATGACACACAAACACAATAAGATGAAAAAAAAGAAAAAAAAAACTCGGATGGTACAACTTTTACAGTAGTTTTATTTTACTCTTTGTAAGAATATGGTATTTAAAAAGGAGATTGTTAATAACTACACAGGATTTTTTTTTTTTAATTGTTCGAACGGTCATCAACTCATCGACATCTTAGGGCCAGTTAATCTATTTATTTATTTGAAAACAAATGAACGTCTTTCTGCATTTTTCATAATTAGTTTATCATTATTTTTTTCTTTGAGAAATGTTTCGACTGTATGATTTGCACTTGAGAAGTTCAGACATTTAACCTAACTTAAAGAGTTCGGACTTGCTAACCTGATCGATCCAATAGTTTTGTAGTTGTAGTTGTTGCTTTTTTGTAGTGTATTTTTTCCCGTTTATTGTCCTTCTTTCATATAAACCTATTTACCAAGGGATTTTGTTAAGTTGACGAAGGGTTCCTGGGAAATTGACATCCCAAAGGGGTTGCGAGTATTTATTTTTCCAGCCAAATACGTCCACCCCTATTGGTGGTTTGGCAAAGGCTGCACACATTACACAGTCACCTATATATATATATATATATATATATATATATATATATATATATATATATATATATATATATATATATATATATATATATACATATACACATAACACACACACACACACACACACACACACACACACACACACACACACACACACACACACACACACACACACACACACACAACACACACACACACACACATATATATATATATATATATTTTTTTATTTTATTTTTTTCAAATATACATATATATTTCTTTAAAAAAAGGTCTAAAGCTTTTGAATTTAAAACCTACATTTCGAACTTATGAAAACAGGGAGAAGAATTTTGACTTTTATTTCGATTTTGTGCATTCTTCGAGTTGCCCGTTCTGCCGCGAAGGAACAGGAACGGAACGTGTTAAGGAACCGTCACACGAGCGTCCTTTCACCGATAAATCAACGGAAATTTGAACTTTTCCACTTCCCGCAACTTCCAAGTCAACGATACCTCTGACGTGGAAAGGTATGAAGGAGAACGAATATCTCCAACAATACAATTTCTGACGAAGATACAATCGAAACCGGTAAAATACATCCCTTGTATTGTGGAGATATTCGTTCTCATTCATACCTTTCTACATTTGTCAACAGGAATATGGTGCAATACCTCTGATGTAGAAGCGAAGTGTATGTATCGTTTACAAATCAGGAAAACGACATGTCAAGAAAGATTCTGTAGTGTTTAGTTAACCCTTTTTTTTGGAGAAAGAAGGGGTGGGGTGGGGTGGAGGGTGGAGGGGGGTGGAGGGGAGGGGGTAAAATTACGGTCAGGTGTGCAGCTATTATTTAGTATTAAGTTGGTAATTGGTAATTAAATTTATATGTAATTTGAAATATTTCCGAGACGAGGGCTCATCAGCTACGGTTGTATCCTGACATGAGGGACACTTCACTTCTCTAAATGACACGAGTGCTGAAAACCCTTCATGTTAAAGCGCATCTCATCCTATTTTATTAAATAGTATTCATATGAAAGTGCTAGATCAGTAGTTCTCAAGCTCTCAAACCCAGAATTAATTAACTGGCAGTAAAGCACACACACACACACTCTCTCTCAAACACACAGACACACACAAAGTCGACCCAAAAATATATCTTGGATTTCGTAACAACACCAAAGACCCAGACGACTACTTTCATTATCCACAATTTCACTACTTCCTCGTCAGCATCCACACTTAATAACACACTTTAAAGTCATCAAACAAGCCATCTAGATACTTAATACTTCGATCCTTAGCCCATAAATAGCCTCATACTTTTATCCACAATTTCAATGCTTCCTCGCTAGCAGCCACACTTAATAAGACACTTTAAAGTCATCAAAAAGCCATCTAGACACTTACTACTTCGATACTTAGCCCATAAATAGCCTCATACTTTTATCCACAATTTCAGTACACTCTTTAAAGCCACCAACAAGCCATCTAGACACACAATACTTCGATCCTTAGCACATTAATAGCCTCATACTTACATTTCTCAATGAGTGACGGTGTTTGCTTACCTCGGGAAGAAGAAGACGTACTTACTTGACTAGCCTCTCGCGACTCACAAAAGCTGCTATCACCCTTTACAGAATAACTGGAGATAAGGTTTTATCTTATCAAGGCTGGCTCTCTTGGTTACTGTATTTGTTCAGATGTTTGTATAATACGAATATATATATATATATATATATATATATATATATATATATATATTATATATATATATATGTGTGTGTGTGTGTGTGTGTGTGTGTGTGTGTGTGTGTGTGTGTGTGTGTGTGTGTGTGTGTGTGTGTGTGTGTGTGTGTGTGTGAAAATTAGATCATCAACAGTGTGTGCGTATATATTATATATATATATATATATATATATATATATATATATGTATGTATATATACATATATATAGATATAAATATAGATATAGATAGATAGATATATACGCACATACACACACACACATACATACATACATACATACATACATACATACATACATACATACACACACACACACAAATTTAGATCATTGGTCATAGATATAGTTCACCTTGGTGGACAACTATGTCATATACGTAGAGGAACGTACATCAACAGTAATATGGAAATATAACTTTACATGATAGAGATATGGGCATCAGTGTAATCCAGGAATTTGATAACATTTTTGATAAGAAATGTACGTGGGGTTGAAGGGATTTTTTGAAATGAAAGTATTTTCTCAATGATTTCAATGGAACTCCTTTTTTTTGGATTGAAAAGAATTAAATGAAATGAAAGAAAGATGTAGGGAAATGGTCAGGGATGAAAAGTGTTGAATAGAAAAAAAATATATATGATCGATAAAGTTGACAAAATTGAATGTTGAACAAAATCACCAATTGAACAAGAAATGGAAATAGCAAATAAATATGAATGAATTGAAAAGAGGTGAAAAAAGAAAAAAAATAAAGATGTGAATAAACATGAACAAAACTGAAAAGGTTGAATGAAAATGAACAAACCTGAATGGAAACGAAAAATAATGAATACAAATCAACAAAATCAGATGAAAATGAAGAAGGTAAGTAAAAGTGAATAAAACTGAATGAAAAAAAAAATGGTGAATATAATTAACAAAACTGAATAAGAATGAAAAATGGTGAATAGATATGAACAAAACTGAAAAAAATGAATAAGGATGAAAAAATGTGAATAAGAATGAGCAATTTTGAATGAAATAATAACAACTGAAATGAACAATTATGAAAAAGGGGTGAATTCAAAACGAACGATGAATAGAAAAAAAACATGAATAAAAAAGGTTGAACACAAAACGAAAGAAGAATAGAAAAAACACGAATAAAAAAGGGTGAACACAAAACGAACGAAGAAAAAAACATGAATAAAAAGGGGTGAACACAAAACGAACGAAGATTAAAAAAAACACGAATAAAAAAGGCTGAACACAAAACAAACGAAAAATAGAAAAAAAAACATGAATAAAAAAGAGTGAACACAAAACAAACGAATAATAATAATAAAAAAAACACAAATAAAAAAAATATAAAAAAGCACATTACACATTAAGAACAGATGATGAACTACAGGTGAGTCATACCATAGGCTTTCGGGTCGCCTGTTCTCCTGAGGGCACAGGTCGCTATAGATATTCTACGGCCTCCTCCGCCCTGCAACATGATGTGGCTTGCAACATGACGTGGTTTGGCTGTTTCCCCTGTGTATCTGTGCCTTTTTTTAAATGAGAATAAACCTGTTTTTATTCTCCTTTGACTTACCTTTCCCACTGGCCCGTAATCTCTCTCTCTCTCTCTCTCTCTATATATATATGTATATATATGTGTGTGTGTGTGTGTGTGTGTGTGTGTGTGTGTGTGTGTGTGTGTGTGTGTGTGTGTGCAGTGTGTGTGTGTGTGTGTGTGTGTGTGTGTGTGTGTGTGTGTGTGTGTGTGTGTAGGTATAGGCAATATACATAGTATAGGCAATTGTCTGAAAACATATGTTTTTTTCTAGAAAACCCTAATGTCTCATGCATACGTATCTACATGAATGCCTGTGTGCGCGCGGGTGACAAAAGGTCGACTGTCCCCTTATCTTATCTCTCACCCTAGACGACTCAGCAGGGGAAGGCTTGGTGTGCAGTTTCACCCTTCGACTGAAAGGAGGAGGTCTGTTTCGTCGCATCTCTAACCACGTAAAAAAAAGGTACACATTTTAACGTAACGAGGTAACTGCCAATTTGTATCATTTCTCCACAGTCGGTGTGCACTGCCTCTCGAGTGGGTTTTGTTCTCGATGAATCTCACGGCAGGTTAGAACAAGGGAACAAATCATGGTGTTTGATGCAGGAACTTTCCCCGTCTTTCTGTCCTGGGGGTTGATCCATAATTCACGTTTGTTCCAAGATATTGAGGAAAAATCCGATTGTTATCCCGGTTTATTCTGTAAATTGCGTAGGAAAAATCCCTGTCCTTTATCCTTTATTATTCTATAAATTGCGTATGATTGGGGTTCGAGAGCAAAGGGTTGGTATCAGAGTAGCCTACACATCGGAGAGCCTTTTTTGGAAGAATTCATGGCTGCCTTGTCAGAGTCAGTCATTACAGAGTAACTTGGGATGAGTGTCATTTAGTATTTATTTCATATTCGCCTCAAGCATCTAGGCATGCACGAGTTCATTTTATCCCCGATCGACAGTACGTAGACAAAAGCACAAGGCATTGTTTGTGCGTGTGTGCGCTTGTATTTTCTCTCTCTTTTATTTATCCGTTGCGGGTCGGATATCCATAATGGCGTGTGATTACGAGAGCTGGAGAAGAGGATGAAAGGGAGGGAGGGCATTCTATCGAAATACCTGTAGCTCTTTGCATATATCTTCTGCCGTTTTCGGAAGTTCCATCTCTGGGCCAGTACTTAGACTGGACAAGGAACCGGGGATTATAACATACATGCAAAATTCAGCTTGATAGACGTCACAAACAACCCTTTTTACTCTCTCTCTCTCTCTCTCCTCTCTCTCTCTCTCTCTATATTTTCTTCGTTCTGCGATCGTCATTCTTCGCCATTCTGTCAAAGCGTTTGTTCATCTCCACTATCAACCTCTGCGTCTCAGTAGCGGGGATCTGGCGAAAGAAATTGACCAATTCTTAAAAGAGATAATTCAGCTGGGACAAAGAATGAATGAAAGCACTTCATATATGCAGTGATTGAGGGTTTGTCTACACCACACTCCACACATATAATTACGATTTGTGAAAAGCCGTAAGTAGTTGAAAAAAAGTGTTCACAATTATCAGTATTATTTTGCCACTTGACCAATCCCTTGTACAAACTCTCTCTCTCTCTCTCTCTCTCTCTCTCTCTCTCTCTCTCTCTCTCTCTCTCTCTCTCTCTCTCTCTCTCTCTCTCTCTCTCTCTCTCTCTCTCTCTCATCTTCGTAAACTGAGAAAGATTGTAGAGAGCCTCTGTGGTTTCTTACCGGTGGGTCGTAACCTCTCGTGAAAGCTTTAGCATGGGTTTCTAAGCCTTGGGGAGGGGGCAATATGAGAAGAAGGAGAAGGAGAAGAAGGAGAAGGAGATAGAGAAGAAGGTGAAGGGGAAGAAGGAGAAGGAGAGGGATAACAAGGAAAAGAAGAAGGAGAAGGAGAAGAAGGTGAAGGAAAAGGAGAAGGATGAGATGAAGAGGAAGAAGGAGAAGAAGGTGAAGGAAAAGGAGAAGGATGAGATGAAGAGGAAGAAGGAGAAGAAGACGAAGAAGGAGGAGAAGGAGAAGGAGAAGAAGGAGAAAGAGAAGGAGAAGGAGAAGAAGGAAACGGAGAATAAGGAGAAGACGAAGAAGGAGAAGGAGAAAAAGGAGAAAGAGAAGGAGAAGGAGAAGAGAGAGAGAAGAGAAGGAGAAGGTGAAGAAGAAGAAGGAGAAGAAGGAAAAGAAGAAGGAGAAGGAGAAGAAGGTGAAGGAAAAGGAGAAGGAGGAGATGATGAAGAAGGAGGAGAAGGAGAAGAAGGAGAAGAGGGAGAAGAAGGAGAAGGAGAAGGAGAAGAAGGAGAAGGAGAAGGAGAATGAGAAGAATGAGAATGAGAAGAAAGAGGAGAAGGAAGAGAATGAAAACAAGGAAAAGGAGAAAAAGAAAAAGGAGAAAGAAGAAGAAGAAGGAGAAGAATAAGAGGGAAAAGAAGGAGAAGGAGATGAAGGAGAGGGAGAAGAAGGAGAAGGATGAGAATGAGAATGGAAATGAGAACAAGGAAAGGAAGAAGGAAAAGGAGAAGAAGGAGAAGATAGAGAAGAAGGAGAAAGAGAAGGAGTAGGAGGAGAAGGAAAAGGAGAAGAAGAAGAAAAAGGAGAAGAAGGAGGATAGGAGAAGGAGAAGAGAAAAGGAAGAAGAGAAAAGAAGAGAAAGGAGATGAGGAGAGGAAGGAGAAGAAGGAGAAGAAGAAGCAGAAGGAGGAGGAGAAGAAGGAGAAGAAGGCGAAGGAGAAGAAATAGAAAGAGAAGGAGAAGAAGGAGAAGGAAAAGGAGAGAAGGAGAAGAAGAAGAAGAAGAGAAGAGGAGGAGGAGAAAGAACTGTAAGGAAAGGTAAGTTGCTGTGACGTCACGGGAGTTCCTATCTACGCTAACGCAAGTTCTTCTAGAATGGGCAGAACAAAGGCGTTTGTGCATATATATGTATAAGTACGTTTGCGGCTATGTGCCCCCGTCGGCGTTAGCTCCCCGATGATATATATATATATATATATATATATATATATATATATATATATATATATATAATATGTGTGTGTGTGTGTGTGTGTGTGTGTGTGTGTGTGTGTGTGTGTGTGTGTGTGTGTGTGTTGTGTGCACATATGTATGTGAGTGTGTGTGTGTGTATTCATGCGTATGTGCATATATACATACACACATGAATAACAAATGCTCATCTGTACATGTGCGTGCATATATCTACACACACGAACACAAACAAACACCCCCACACATCCATTCTCAAATCCTCCCCAGATTCACCAGCAGACGACATGGCACCCAAATGCAAGGTGTGCCACGGCTTCTTCGGCCCCGGAGACAAGGCCCCCCTGTCGCTGCAGTGTGGCCACAGCACCTGCAAGCAGTGCGTCTTGAGGCTGATCGACGAGACGGGAGAAATCAAGTGCCCGACGTGTAGGGTCGTGACTGACGGTGCCAACGCTGAGGACTTGCCCGTGAACTACGACCTTCTGGACACAGCCACGGATGACCTCGAGGCACCCGTTCGTCGGCAGGTGAGGGTGAGGGAGGAGAGAGGGGAGAGAGAGAGGGGGAGGGAGAGAGGGAGAGAGAGAGAGAGGGAGAGAGGGAGAGTGAGGGAGGAGAGAGGGGACGAGGGAGAGGGGGAGAGGGAGAGAGAGGGGGGGGGGAGAGGAGAGGGGAGGGAGGAAGAGGGAGGAAGAGGAGGTGGAGGGAGAGGGAGAGGGAGGGAGAGGGAGAGAGAGGGGAGGAGAGAGGGAGGGAGAGGGAGAGAGAGGGAGAGAGAGGAGGGAGAAGAGAGAGAGAGAGGGACGGAGAGAGAGAGAGAGAGAGAGGGAGAGAGAGAGGAGACAGACAGAGAGAGACGATGAGAGATAGACGTATAGATAGACATATAGATAGACAAATAAATAAATAGATAGACAGAGATATAGACGGAAAAAACAAAGAAAGAAAAAAAAAGAGAAATCAAACAACCCCCCCTCCCCTCCCCAATGTACATTAACCCCCCTCCCCCCTTCCACAGTATGCATCACCCCTCCCCCTCACCTCCCACAGTGTACATCACCCCCCATCCTCCACCTCTCCGCAGTGAGCCTAACCCCCCCTTCCCCCTCACCTCCCACTGTATGCATCACTCACCCCCCTCCCCATGCCCCTCCCACAGTGTACATTAACCCCACCCTCCCCACCTCCCACAGTGAGCACTAACCCCCCACCCCTCTCCCACCTCCACAGTGTACATTACCCCCCCATCCTCCCCACCCCCTCCCACAGTGAGCATCACCCACCCCCCTCCCCACCTCCCTGCAGTGAGCACTCCTCCCCCGCCCACCTCCTGCAGTGAGCACTAACCCCCACCCCCCTCTTTTCCCTCTTTCTCCACAGGTTCGGATCAGCGTGATCGTGAAGGACCTGACCGGGAAGCAGTTCCGAGTGGAGGTCGAACCGAGCTCCCAGGTCATTCAGATCAAGAGGTCACTGTTTAACCAGTACGGCTTAACAGTGGACAATATTGCACTCATGTTGCACGGTCAACGCCTGAGGGAGGACGAGACCATTGCAGATAACGGGATCGTTGAGGGAGATATTATAGAGATGACCACAAGATACGAAGGAGGGGAAGTGGGTGGCATCTGAAGACCCTTGTCTTGATTTTGAGGATTTTTTTTTTTTTTGAGTTTTTTTTTTTGTTTTTGTGTTTTCTTTTCTAGGATTTTTTTTTTCGAGATTTGTGTTTTTTTTTTTTCTCGAAAGGTTTATTATTTTTGGCATGAAATTGTTCCCATTATTATATTGTTATTTAGGCATTATACTTAAGAAAAATAGTATCCTGATGATTATTTGTATTATTATTTATCACAGCCTTTTTATATTTATATATATTCATTTTTTGAGTATATTTTTTCCTTCGAGAATTAGATTAAATTTGAATTATATTAATATAATTTTTTTCACACAATAGAATAAAGTTATAATTATCTATTTTGTATATGATATTATTTAAATATATATGTTCATTATTAATATAATTCTTTTATTTAGGCATTTGAAAAGAATTTACTTTAAGTCTGATTTTCAGTGCACATTTTTATTTATTAAATTTATTAATATATTTTTTAGATATAAGATTTTTCTCGTAATCGAGAAAATTATAGAATTGTTATTATTATTAATTCGAAATTTATATTATTATTTGGTTCTAAATACTGTTCATTTTATATATATTATATTTTTATTATCATAATAATTACTACATATAATTTATCATAAGAGAAAAGATTATTACCACTTGTCTAAATTTTATTTTTCATATTTATTTATCTATTTTGTTATTTATTTCATAATAATATTTATTTATTATTATTATAATTTTTTCTAGAGAGTAATTTATTATGATATTTAGAGTGTTTTTCGAATTTATTATGTAGTTTATTTATTTATCGAGTTTATTATTATTAATTATAATTTAAGTCTGATAACCATTCATATTATATATATATTATATTCAATGAATATATAAAACTATATTATATAATGGACCTTATTTATATTATTAAAAGCTTATTAAAAAATAGTCATTATTCCCCCTGTATTATATAAATTTAACATATAATAACTTCTTTTTTAATTATATCTTAAATTAAGTCTATTATTATACCATAATATTTTCAAGTCCTATTCAATATGGATTATCTATTTATCCCAAGATAAATTACTATTTAACACTATTTTAATAAAAATTAATATATTACTAATATTAATTATACCATATATTTTTATTCACATATCTATTCTAATTATATTATTCAATCTATTATAATATTCTTCATTTTAGCATTACTTTTAGTTTATTTCCTCAACTGATCAATTATAAATTCCTTAGCCTTATTCTCGACATTTCTCCCCTTAGACTATAAGTATAAATTTGTGAACGAAAGCAGAAGCCAACATACAAAATCTGTCTGAATTTATGATTGTAAAATTTTATAACATAGTATAGCACACTTTATATACTACCAGGAGTATGTTATGTAAAGAGACACATGTAATAAAATATTAGATGAGAAAGATTATTTTATTTAATGATAAACAACAGAGAAAGAAAGAGAGAGACAAAAAAGAGAGAACCTTCCAACAGAAACAGTTATCAGAATGAAAAAAACAAAAAAACAATAATGGTGGGAAGAGAGATAATGCGGATAACTGCAATGAAAAAACAAAACATCAACACGATAAGGCAGGAAATTCCACATTGAAGCAGTAAGATTTAAAAATCTATTTGTCTCTATATATATTTTATTTTTATATTTAGAATTATATCTTTGGTTATCTTTTACTGTAGCTCTATAGTTCTTTCTATATCTACATCTCTATACCTATATTTATACATATATCTATATCCATATCTCTGTCTGTCTCTCTCTCTCTCTCTCTCTCTCTCTCTCCTCTCGTCTCTCTCTCTCTCTCGCTCTCCACGTCTCTCTTTCTTTTTTCTCCCTCTCTCTCTTTCTCTCCCACCCCCTTCTCCACCCCCCTTCTCTCTCTCTCTTTCTCCTCTCACTCTTTCTTATTCCCATCTCTCTCACTTCTCGTTCTTGTCTTTTCCCTAAACGTTACGAATTTCAAATCGCACGCTCATAACACCTTGTTTATCTCGTAAGCAAGCATGAAATCAATAAACAAGGTAGGTCATTATCAAATCAAATTCTTCAGCATTATATTTCACGAATTGTCCCGCCAAAGTGAGGTTTCAAAAATGTAATTCTTCAGATTTCTCTATTTAATTTCTAACTTGACATACGTATCTGTGAGAAAGGGTTGTTTCATCCTGTTAAAAATAGCTCATGGTCATATTTGGTGATGATAAGAGGGGGATATAGGGTTTACTGATAAGATTGGGAGGAATATCGTATGTCACAGGTCACCAGATCTAATACTCCAAAAAAGATGTTATGACTTCTAAAACACATACGCAGACATATTATAGGCCTATCATTATATATAACTTTTTTTTAATTCTCTGATTTTTTTTTGTTCATTTCTACTAAAATGTAGATTTATTACATCAATAGTACCGTATGTCTGTGCGTCGAAAGTGGCTGGCATGTGCTGATCAGCTGTTGTTCTGCTTCCACTAATGGCCGCTAGATGGCACCACTGTTTCAAAACTTCGTGGATACGTTTCTCATCGTCGCACAAACCCATACTCTTTTAAAGATTATTTAATGCTTTATATACTAATTAATCATTGACGATCGCCATGCTGGAACACACAAAAAAGAAAAGAAAAGAAAAAAAGTCTGTTATCGATGTTAAGTGGATCTCAGACCTCTGATTCTTTGTAGTAATGGTTGCATTACGTTCAGAGCAAATTATTTCACTCGTTTCACTCACTCACAAAATGAACCTCACCATTTTAGCATCCTTTCTCTGCCCTTGAGATCGCTTTGATCAGTGACCTAACTTAAAATCAAAGCTTTTTCACTTAAAACAAAGCCGCGAGTTTTTCTTGCACTTTAAAACAAAGCGCGAGTTTACTTTAAAACAAAGCAGCGAGTTTTTCTTGCACTTTAAACAAAGCAGCGAGTTTTTCTTGCACTTTCAACAAAGCAGCGAGTTTACTTAAACAAAGCAGCGAGTTTCTTTTTTTTTTTCTTGCACTTTTAAAACAAAAGCGAGTTTTTCTTGCACTTTAAAACAAAGCCGAGTTTTTTCTTGCACTTTAAAACAAAGCAGCGAGTTTTTCTTGCACTTTAAAACAAAGCAGCGAGTTTTTCTTGCACTTTAAAACAAAGCAGCGAGTTTTTCTTGCACTTTAAAACAAAGCAGCGAGTTTTTCTTGCACTTTAAAAACAAAGCCGCGAGTTTTTCTTGCACTTTAAAACAAAGCAGCGAGTTTTTCTTTGCACTTTTAAACAAAGCAGCGAGTTTTTCTGCACTTTAAAACAAGCAGCGAGTTTTTTCTTGCACTTTAAACAAAGCAAGTTTTCTTGCAGCGAGTTTTTCTTGCAAAAACAAAGCAGCGAGTTTTTCTTGCACTTTAAAACAAAGCAGCGAGTTTTTCTTGCACTTTAAAACAAAGCGAGTTTTTCTTGCACTTTAAAACACGAGTTTTCTTGCACTTTAAAACAAAGTTTTTTTCTTGCACTTTAAAAACAAAGCAGCGAGTTTTTCTTGCACTTTAAAACAAAGCAGCGAGTTTTCTTGCACTTTAAAACAAGCAGCGAGTTTTTCTTGCACTTTAAAACAAAGCAGCGAGTTTTTCTTGCACTTTAAAACAAAGCAGCGAGTTTTTCTTGCACTTTAAAACAAAGCAGCGAGTTTTTCTTGCACTTTAAAACAAAGCAGCGAGTTTTCTTGCACTTTAAAACAAAGCAGCGAGTTTTTCTTGCACTTTAAAACAAAGCAGCGAGTTTTTCTTGCACTTTAAAACAAAGCAGCGAGTTTTTCTTGCAGCTTTAAAACAAAGCTTTTTCTTGCACTTAAAACAAAGAAGCGAGTTTTTCTTGCACTTAAACAAAGCAGCGAGTTTTATTGCAGCTAGTTTTCTTGGCACTTTAAAACAAAGCAGCGTTTTTCTTTGCACTTTAAAACAAGCAGCGAGTTTTTCTTGCACTTTAAACAAGCAGCGAGTTTTTCTTGCACTTTAAAACAAAAGCAGCGAGTTTTTCTTGCACTTTAAAACAAAGCAAGTTTTTCTTGCACTTTAAAACAAGCAGCGAGTTTCTTGCACTTTAAACAAAGCAGCGAGTTTTCTTGCACTTTAAAACAAAGCAGCGAGCAGCGAGTTTTTCTTCACTTGCACTTTAACAAAAAGCAGCGAGTTTTTCTTGCACTTTAAAACAAAAGCAGCGAGTTTTTCTTGCACTTTAAAAACAAAGCAGCGAGTTTATTTAAAACAAAGCGAGTTTTTCTTGCAGCAGCGAGTTTTCACTTTAAACAAAGCAGCGAGTTTTTTGCTTTAAAACAAAGCAGCTTTAAAAAACAAAGCAGCGAGTTTTCTTGCACTTAAAACAAAGCAGCGAGTTTTTCTTGCACTTAAAACAAGCAGCGAGTTTTCTTGCACTTTAAAACAAAGCAGCGAGTTTTTCTTGCACTTTTAAAACAAAGCAGCGTTTTTTCTTGCACTTTAAAAACAAAGCGCGTTTTTTTCTTGCACTTTATTTTTCTTGCACTTTAAAACAAAGCAGCGAGTTTTTCTTGCACTTTAAAACAAGCAGCGAGTTTTTTCTTGCACTTTAAAACAAAGCAGCGAGTTTTTCTTGCACTTTAAAAACAAAAGCAGCGAGTTTTTCTTGCACTTTAAAACAAAGCAGTTTTTTCTTGCACTTTAAAACAAAAGCGAGTTTTTCTTGCACTTTAAACAAAGCAGCGAGTTTTTCTTGCCTTTAAAACAAAGCAGCGAGTTTTTTCTTGCACTTTAAAAACAAGCAGCGAGTTTTTCTTGCACTTTAAAAACAAAGCAGCGGAGTTTTTTCTTGCACTTTAAAACAAAGCAGCGAGTTTTTCTTGCACTTTAAAACAAAGCAGGCGAGTTTTTCTTGCACTTTAAAACAAGCAATAGTTTTTCTTGCACTTTAAAACTAGTTTTACTTTAAAAACAAAGCAGCGAGTTTTTCTTGCACTTTAAAACAAAGCAGCGAGTTTTTCTTGCACTTAAAAAC